GAACTTCTTCTCTCTGAGGGTGACGGAGCACTGGAACAGGCTGCCCAGGGAGGTTGTGGAGTCTCCTTCTCTGGAGATATTCAAGACCCGCCTGGACAAGGTCCTGTGCAGCCTGCTCTAGGTGACCCGGCTTCGGCAGGGGGGTTGGACTAGATGACCCACAGAGGTCCCTTCCAACCCCTACTATTCTGTGATATATTCTGTGATAAGGGGTAATGGTTTTAAACTAAAAGAGGGTACATTTAGACTGGATATGAGGAAGAGATTTTTTTACGATGACAGTGGTGCAACACTGGACCAGGTTGCCCAAAGAGGTGGGAGATGCCCCGTCCCTGGAAACGTTCAAGGCCAGGTGGGACGGGGCTCTGAACAACCTGATCTAGTGGTGGATGTCCCTGCTCATTGCAGGGGGGTTGGACTAGATGACCTTTAAAGGTCCCTTCCAACCCAAACCATTCTGTGGTTCTGTGAAATGATAGGTGTGAAAGCAATAGTACATGGTTTTGTGCAGTAGTGGGGAACCAAATCCAGTGATCCACTTAGCTCTTTCCATGTAATGTGTGGCTTTTTTGCTGTAATGTTGGTATTGCATAGAATTGTCTAGAGAATATTAAACCTGTTTCTTCTCTCCTGTTCTTTTCCTTATGTAAACAGTTCCAGTTCCAGCCTGCAAAATCCCCCTGGTAATAGTGAAGAAAGAACTCATCTCATGGGTGGTGAAACATAGCAGACATACTTTCAATTCTCTGTTTACTATTGTGGTTTAACCTAGCGTTGAGATGAGTGGACTTAACAGTGTTTCATTATTCTGGAGCTGGGATACATGATCTCTTAGTGAAAAACCGTTTGTGATTTAGTTGTAGCTGCGTTACTGTTTTGAAACACTAAACACTGACTGCCTTTCTTTTGGAATTCCTTGTGTGGATTGGCTGAAGTGATGAGTAATCTTCAGATGATAGCCTGTTTAATTGTGTTCCACATACAGTGCACCACTGTGTGTGGAGATGTGTTTTCAAATGTCTGGTTCTATAAATGAGCCTGCAGTGCATTATCCTTGGGTAAAGCTACTATTATGCTATCATGATTTTCTGTATTGTTTTCAAGAAAGTTCATCATTTTGTAGTACTTTGATAACATAATATGTTGAAACGGAATTTGAAATAACAAAGCATTAAGCACAATATTGTTTCCAATAATGCAACTTTTTTTCCTAAGTTTTGTGAATTTTCTTGGACAACAAGAGTCTAAAAGACTTTATGTCTACCAGTACTTGTATTATCTTGAAAGTGCCTGAAGATGGGAGGCAAAGATAATGAAGAGAAGACTAAACGTCTCTATACAGAACTAACTGATATTCAGTCCTGGAGGAGTCTTGGCATCATGTGTGTATGTTTGTATTATATTAGAAGACTCAGCTTGGTGTGTGTGAGATCTATTTTACTAATAAATGCCACCTGGAATGTTTGTACTAATTGCCCCTGCAACAGTAAATGTATCAAAAGCCTAGGGCTACACTTTTACAACAATGGGGGTAAAAAAAATCTCTTTACCTCCTGGGGTGCTTAGCAAAAAAACTCAAGGGGAACTGAGACAAAGGCTTACCTGGCAAAGTCTGGCTAGACTTCTTGACTTCAGTTGTGGCAGAAGTCTTCCAGAACTGGGTCCTAGAAGGGGTTCTCTGTGATACCCATTTTTCCATAGATAAGAAAAATGATCTAGTCCTAGCACTTTCCAAGCAGTTTCTCTTGTGAGTAGCTACTGGAATTTACATGAGAATTACTTCTTTCTCTGCCAGAGCCCTTTTTGGGGTACTAGCAGGAACTCTGAAGTAGCAGGATACCAAAGGGCAGACTTCCCCTGGCAACATCCTGACTCCCTTTCCTTTTGTATCAGATGTTAGACTTTACTGAAACCGGGAACCTATTGTGAGGTGCTGACCCTGCCCGTGACGATGGTGAGGCAGGTGAGAAGGAGCTGAGAGGACTAGAGGTAGATGCAAAGCACACAAGACACAGGTCTGCAGATGTGAGACTGAATTGGCTGTCTTTGTGGAATGACTTGTTCACTTACCTGGCTTGTGCTGTTAGGACTTGATGTGGCCAGGATTACCAGAAAGAGCACAAATGTCATTCAAATTCCTGAGCTGTCCTGCAATGCATGAACTTCATCACACCCCCAGCAGAAACTAGACAAGCTTAGCTAACCCCTCTAGCTTTCTGGTGACAGATCTTCTCCCCTTTTTATTCCCTCATTTATGCAACAGAGGCGAAAGAAACCTGAAGAGGAATCCTGGTTTCCGGGTTAGTTGTTCAAATCAGCTCACAAGTGTGTTCTCCTGCCGTGATTACCCAGGGGTCCTGGAACTGTGGCTAAAGCAGAGCAGTGGGATCTCTTGTGGGAAACCCAGCAGCCCCTGGCTAGTGCTGTGCTTCCCTCCTGCAGTGGCAGGTCTAAACCCCCATCTGCCGCTACCAACACAGTTGTACGATCGGTGAAGCTGCGAAGTTGGGACTGAAGGGTGTAGCCAAACTGCACGCTGCTAGATCGGAGCAGCCTTGAGCTGGGGTGGCACAGGCAGCGCCTGTGCGGCCGCACCGAGCTGGGGACCGGCCACCAGGCTCCTGCAGCCCTGCCTGCACCCACCTCGCACCCTCGTGTTTGGGCAGGAATGTGTCTGTGCCGGTCTTTGCTGAGATTTCCCAAACTTGTTTTGCTGCTTTGACCTGGCCTTGCCTGGAACTGCGTTCCTGTAGCAACGCCTGGCCTGAGGCATCTGTAGCTCTGGCAGGCAACGTGTTTCTCTGGCTGCAGCACAGTGGTGACTGCTCTGCCATTGCTCAATGCTGGCTGCTCTCTTGCCTTTGATGTTGTGAGACTTTCCGGGCAGGGTGATTGCATCTCCTGGTGTGTCGGCTTTCCGCCACCCTGGGGAATTCCCGGGTTTAGTGCAACACTTCCGCTTTTAAAGCCCCTGTCTTTGCTGTTCCTGTGCTCCTGGAAGTGGCCATCAAAGAAGCAGCCAGACAGGTATTATGACCTCACTGGAGACATTCATCTTGGTAAACACGGAGCATTTATTCATTTTCTTAATGTTGTTTTTTGGTTTTCTATGTTGGTACCAGGGTGCCCATATCATTGTGACTCCTGAAGATGGCATCTACGGCTGGGTCTTCACAAGGGAAACAATATACCCTTATCTTGAGGATATCCCGGACCCACAGGTGGACTGGATTCCATGTGCTGATCCTGGAAGGTATCGTCCCTGCTGTGCATGGTGGGATGGTCCGATGGGAAAGACAGCTACCCATAGGAGCTGTTGGTAGTTTTAAATGTCTTGGAACAATCCCTGGGATATGAAGGCAGGTTAGACATCATGTAGTTGCCATAAATAGCTTCAGACAACTTCCTTCATAATTTTTCTCTGTAGTTTTTTTTTCATTGTAATTATTTTGATTTTAGTTAGTATAATCATAAAGGTCAAGATTTATTTAAAAGAAAACCAGAAACATGCAGAATCTACATTTCAGTAATATATTCCATGCATGTTGTAAAATGTGTTTAAGATATAGGAATATTAGGAATATTTGTGAATAAAATGAGAGCTACTACTGAAAGCATATACTGCACAATTTCAGATTTATATTTTTGAATAGTGACATGGTAGCCTTTTTATTCTTTTAACTTATTTTATTTCCATCAGATTAAAGCATGATATTGTTCAGGCCCAGTTCTTCTTGACATCACAGCATTACAAGGGGAAGGAAGCTCAAATTTTTCTTCTTTAATAAATTGCACCATTTTTTGAGGCCACAGTATTTGGTGAAAGATGAGGTAATGCACCATAGAAGAAACAAATCCTAAGCTACCTCAGCACGGCGGCTGAATTGAGAGCTGAAGCACCACGGCTGAGATCACCCCGTGTGTTGGTGTAACAACGCTGTGCCACATGCCAGCAGCAGAAGGGAGACTGGAAGGTGCAAAGGTTTGCTTTCACTGCGAGGAAACCCCTGTGTTCCTCACTTACCTGATGTGAGATGAAGCCAGAGTTTCAGCACGCTAAGCTTTGAAGCACAAAACCACTGTGTTCTGCTGAATGCCAGAAAACGGCAGTCTCGTACCAGAAATTACAAACCTATCATTGTTGTGATCTGTAGTCTTAGTGTAGGCATTTATACCAATCGACTGGTTTTGATGTTTTGTTTTCTCTCTTCCTTCCCTGCTGTGTAGGTTTGCTCCTTCACCGGTGCTGGAAAGACTGAGCTGCCTGGCGAGGAATAACTCCATCTACGTGGTTGCAAATATGGGAGACAAGAAGCCATGTAATTCCAGTGATCCGAGGTGCCCAAGCGATGGTCGCTATCAGTACAATACCAACGTTGTCTTTGATTCAGAAGGGAAACTGGTGGCTCGCTACCACAAGGTAAGAGGATTTTACAAAGTTCAGGAAGTGCATGATCCTCAGGTGATTAAAGGTGTGAAATAAAGCTGCTTCCCAGGCTTAAATGTATTTGTACATAGAGTCATTATATAGCGGGTGTCAGAGAGCAGGTGGAAGTCACTGCCCGAAGATATCTTTATTCCTGCTATTCTGTAATTAATAGCAAGTAATTAAAGGAAATTAATTAAAACTCAAAAAGCTCTCTATTTTTACTGCTCCTCGATAGGAAGTGACACATGAGTTACCAAAACACTAATGTCCTAAACTCTTGCTGACTAAATACAAATCCACTTCATTGATATAAAACAGAAACATGGATATTTGTGCTCAACTCGTCTTGCAGTGATACAAGTTTTCCTTTTCAAAATTAAGATATAGCATGTTTACAAAACATTGTAATTTTATAACATTTTGTATTGTTTACAAAAGTCACCATTACTTGTATTTAAATGAATATTATATTCAACATTAGTCTTATTTAAATGTTTTAATTTCTTTTCTAATCTTCTTTTCTCCATTCCTTCCTCTCAACGAACAGTACAACCTTTTTGTGACAGAGAAACAGTTTAATTACCCCAAGGATCCACAATTTGTGACTTTCAATACATCGTTTGGCTACTTCGGCATTTTCACTTGTGCAGACGTACTCTACCATGACCCAGCTGTGGTCTTGGCAAACAGATTCCAGGTTGACACCATTCTGTTCCCAACTGCTTGGGTTAACACACTCCCACTGTTGTCGGCAGTCCAGTTTCACTCAGCATGGGCTATGGGAATGGGCGTCAACTTCCTTTCAGCAAATACGCACAACTCCACTTTAGAGATGACAGGTAATGTGAAACTGCTCTAACTGATCTTGTTCACATGGGCACCATTTATATCTGTGTAGTGTGGCATTTACCTGAGCAGAAATGCGTATCAGCTTTAGGCATGCTTGCACATGTCAACAGCATTACGACAAAAGAACTTGTACAGATAAAAAGGAAATCAAAACATGATATGTAAGAAGTCAGAAATGCTCAAGTTAACTAAAGGTGTTCTAGTCATGTGCTAAATGATCAGTTCTGAGATTTTATGCGTATGATTTTTCATCTTCTGACCCTGACCTTAGTGTTTGTCCGTATTTTGTTCATATGAAGACCCAAACTATTTTTTTCTCCACTAGGTGGAAACATAATGCTTAGAAATGTTCTGTTTTGCAAATACTGCTTCTGGACTGGAGACCTAGTGTCAAGTCTTCTTTGCAGGCTCTGTTTTCACTGTATATTGTCCTGAACATATGGCAGAAGTCATGCACAGATTTCCTAGGCATGTGCTTGTAAAAGTGAGAGAAATTTACTGGTGTTGCTAAAATGTAGCCCTAAACTTTGCCTTCCAAATAAAAGCAGATGCTGGCTGTTCCTTTAGTTCTCAGTCGTTGATGACTCTATGTCATACAACTCATATTCTTTATGGATGGGTTTTACTCTGGGCTTTAAAGATTTATGTATTTATGTAAAGAGCTTGCATAAAGATGTGACTTTTGTTAATATCTTTTCCTTACAGTGTTCTTTTCACTTGACAGTGTTATTGTTAATTTTAATCAGAAATACTGATTTCTGATCTAGCTAATCTCAGTGAAGAATGTATAGCTCCAGCCACTGAAATCATATAGAATGGCATATAATGAGCATGCTAATCTTGTCACTTACAATACATGAAACATCAGAGTTTGATCTACTTTCCATTGATTGCAAAAAGCGTTAGGTTAGGGTTGTAGTCCATGAAGGGTTAATTTAGTTTCAAAACAATCTGGTAAACATTAGAATAAAGTTTGGCACATGTTTAATTAGTGAAGACTGTTTACTTGTACCATACACTTGCTTTCCGGTGTTATGTGTTTGCAGGGAGTGGTATTTATGCCCCAGATGGTCCGAGAGCATATTATTACAATACAGAAACAGAAAATGGTCACCTTTTGGTGACAGAACTGAGTTCACGCCCACGTCTGTCTCCTGACTATCCTGCTGCTGTTAACTGGACATTGTATGCCAGCAGGATCGAACAGCTTCCGTCAGACAGCCACCATTTCAGTGGGGTCGTTTACCATGATCTCTTCTCCTTCACGGAGCTCACTGAACCCGAGGGAAATCGTGCCATTTGCCAGCAGGACCTCTGTTGCCATCTGAGTTACAAGATGGCAGAGAAGCAGAAGGATGACATTTATGTTCTGGGTGCCTTTGATGGGCTACATGTTGTTGAAGGAGAGTATTATTTGCAGGTAAAGGTTTTCTGTTCCTATTTGGACAGTGGGAAGGCTGCAATACTCTCTTTGCAGCCCATTTGTATAATTTTTGATGGAGGGGGTTGAAGAGGAGGCATTTTTTTAGGCCCCTCTGAAAACATTTGTTTTCTTCATGATGCCTTTTGACATCAAATCCATCTCTCAGTTGTTGAAAGCTTAGCCGTATTTTGCCTTTCTGTATCCTCCTCCTCCCTGCAGATATGCACGCTGCTCAAGTGCAAGAGCACAGACCTGAACACGTGTGGGCAGCCGGTGGAGACGGCTCAGACCAAGTTTGAGATGTTCTCCCTCAGCGGCACCTTTGGCACCAACTATGTCTTTCCAGAAGTGTTGTACAGCGGGGTTCAGCTGGCCCCTGGGGATTTCAAGGTAATGGGAAACCCTTGTGAGTCGTCAGACTTGTAACACAAATGGTTAAAAAGCCACTACAAGACACAGGAGCAGCTTGGGAGTTATCAGTGTCCTCTATTTCAGTAACTGGCTTGAGTTCAAGGCAGCTTTATTTCTGCCTGATTTTCCTGGTTGCATTCATACAGCAGGTCCATTTTGCTGATTCTCCTCTTCGCTGTCCCCCCAAATCCCTTAGAACAAGATCTTGCTCGAGACAGAAGTGCAGTTTTTCTCAGACTTCGTGGTAGCTCCAAGTGAGCTGCCACATCTCTCAACTATGTCAACATTAATATATTATTTTGTGTTTGTCATACAATAGTACTGCTTTGCTAATGTTTCTGTTTATTTTACTTTTCCATAACTAGGTGCTAACTGATGGACGTCTGATAAGTCGTACGAGTACATCAAAGCCAGTTTTGAGTGTAACACTCTTTGGGAGGTGGTATGAAAAGGACCCTCCACACACAGAGCAAGCTTCACCATGATTTCACTGCAGATCCTTTAAGATCTCATCTGCTTGTTTCTGTAATGCTAATTAATTGTAATTAATCATAATGCTAATGTTAATTAACATTAATACCCATAATTATAATGGAATTCTATTTCTCAGATTGCCTTATCTAACAACATAGACATTGCATTGATTTGTTGACTTGATTTTGCAGCAAGAATAAATTACTCTCCTGGGCAGTTCTGTATGAATTTTTGTATGACAGCTTTTGACTGTCATAGGCTTGACTTTGATCTCACTGGGGACAATCAAAAATAAATTCTTCTGACTTTAATGATATAGGATTCAGGCACGTAGCGGTGGCTTGTGGCCCAATAACAACGGATTTTTAATCCGTTTAAATTTTTGGCGGGGTGTTAGAAGTCATTTCCACAACACTGTGCTGCCCCATCTTTGAACACACCCTTTTCTTTCAGCTGGAGATTGAATGCGCTTGCACGTGTATGGGTGCAGGCCCTGCAGACTGTAATTTCTAAGAAGGTCGACTGGATTAGTTAGGGTGGCACAGCTAAGATTTCTATGTACCATCAATTCTGTTGTTAGCTCTGCAGGTTTGTTTTGAAATAAAAAACAGTTCACGTTTAATCTGACCAACTTCATAAAAAAGCAGACTTGCAGAATGCAAAATACATTGATTTTGAACAAAGTAAACATTGTAAAACCAAGATTTTTGTCTGTAAATGTATTAAATTCTAACCCTCTACAATTCGTACAATAGTAGAAATGGAAAACGCTTCACTTGTTTGTGGAGAAAAGCACTGTGTCTCTATATCAGTATCTGCGCCCTAGGACATGGTGTCCTGTTACAGCGAAGCGGGATAACGAAGTGCTGTTGGAAAAATGAGCAGCTTCGGATTTCCTCACCCCTGACCGCCTGTCCTCGCTGCGTTGCCGTGATTGCATGGTTGCAGCGTGACTCTTCACACCGGCCTCTCCACAGCAAGATTAACCCTGCGAACAAGCAGTTTTCCACGCAGCCTCCCTCAGCACAGGGAAAGGAGCAGGACTGCAGTCTAAAGACAGACTACCTCTGCAGCTGAGCTGATTTAGCATCAAGTTGCGTCCTGTTTCACAGAAGTAAGTCCTCAGCTAACCCGGGAGACAGACAGACGGGGGAGAGTGCGGTAGAGGGGTGGGGAGAGTGGACGGGGAGGACGGAAATGTGAAAAGCAAAGGGAGCTCTAGCATAAACTTACTCTTACGTTTCCCACAGCCAGGGATAGCCTGGACCGCTGTTTGCTGAGTTTTATTCAGTGGGTTGGTTTGTCTAAGCCGAGTTAGTTCCTCCTTGCTGGGAGAGCTCCCAGCTCTGCAGGCAGTAGGCGGTGGTGCCTGCTGGAACAGAGGCAGGCAGGGGTGCCTCCACCCCACCGCACTGCAGAAACCCTCCTGTCCTGGCAGTGTGACTCAAACTTGGCGGGAGAGTGCGCAGCCCCTGCGCTTGTCACTTTTTCTGCTCAGCCCTGCCAGGGGAGTCACGGTTCCAGGCTGGCTGTTTTCCTAGCTGTTGCTAAACAAGGGAGCGTTTACTGCTTCCTCCTTCAGGCTTGCATCTGATTGTGGTTAATGTGACTCAAGCCGTATTTCGTTTGACAAGAAAAACGGGGGGAGGGGAAAGGCTTCCAAGGTCCATTACTTAATTATCACTGAAATCTCTCTTGCAGCCTTCTAAAGGCTCATAGTTAAGGATCCTGAATAAGCGTGCTGTATCTAGCAGTGTCTGTAGAGAAGTATTTAGAGGTGAACGTGACTGGATGTAAATCAGTGTTCCTAATGGCTGAAACCGTCAGTCAACGCCACTCTTGCAGGGAACTCTCTGCTGTTTGCATTCACTCACAACATTTCTGTGGAGATGTTGTAGAGACAGTCTGCTGTAGGCAGGTAGCCTGTTCTGCTTCCTGCTGTTCAGAACACCTTTCCCAAATGAGAATACTGCAAATATCAGCATGTCAAAAAACAGAAAATGTCACAGGAAGATGCATTTGAACCGAATTGAAGTAAAAGATTAAAAATGAAGGCTTCTGGATACACAGCATGTTCCTGGGAACAGGAAAGGTGAGCAGAGGGGCAGGCATGCTGCTGCACCTGGTGAACTGGCCTGCCCTTCTGCTGCAGGCAAGTGGCACCCAGGCAAGGAGGTTAACGGCCCGGCTGGTGGCTTACCTGCCAGGCTTCAGAGGAAAACATTCCCTCCAGATGTGTGTTTTCTGGGGGAAGCCTGTTGGAAAGTGATGTACAGCTAAACACTAGTGACTGGGAGAGCCACTGAGATAAATGCACGGGACAGTTCTGTTGCTGGCATGTTAAGTGTATTGCATCTAATTACAGTGAGACACTAATATAACGACTTTGGTGTTAAGAAAGTCTGTGAAGCAAGCTGCACATCATGGCACATAGCACAGGGACTGGGGAATAAGAAGACACTGAAAGAAAGCAAACAGTTTTTAAGACCCGCAGTTTTTCCACTCGAACTTCACAGACTACTTCCAGGGGTGACACATCCACTTTTCACCTGGGTATCAGAGTTGAGCCAACATAGACAGCAAAAGTCTATTCCAATCAATAGAAAAGTATAACAACAAAACATTGGACCATTCTCCCTAGCCATGTGTTTTAGAACTTCTTTTTCTCTTGGCACAATTACTCTTGGCATTACCCAGCTTTTCAGACTTGTTGAGTTGCGACATCCTCACTGTGTTTAGTTGTACTTTCCCGAAAGTCACCAGCAACACTTGATTCCAAGGTAATGTTCTAACAGACCAGCAGGTCCTCCCTCCTTCGAAGTTAAACTTTGTCCCTCTTTTCTTTTCTATGCGTGCTGATTTTGCACCATTTATCCATGACGTTCCAGGAGCTGCGAGGCAGCAGCCATGCTCCCTTCCCAGCCTCTCCTGCACGCTGCGGTGTTTGCACTCGCAGTCCTCCAGGCCCTGGCCTCCGACACCTTCATTGCAGCCGTCTACGAGCACGCGGTCATCCTGCCAGATGCCACTGACGAGCCCGTTTCTCCCGACGATGCTTTGGCCCTGATGAACAAAAACATGGACGTCTTGGAAGGGGCCATCAAGGAAGCCGCCCAGCAGGTACTGGGTGTATCGGGAGCATTGTTAATCAGTGTTTCCTGCTCCTGCTGACCCTCCTGCTTATCTGTCGATGGGTGAATTCTTAACGGAGCCTGTTGTTTCAGGGTGCTCACATCATCGTGACTCCTGAAGACGGCATTTATGGCTGGCGTTTCACAAGAGAAGCCATCTACCCCTACCTGGAGGATATCCCTGATCCGGCGGTGGACTGGATTCCCTGCACCGACCCCACAAGGTGACTCCTTCAGCAGTGATTGATGTAGTTTCAGATTAGTTCCTCATGGAGTCGTGAGCTGCTCACAATAAATGCCTAAGAACTGCTTTTGACAGGAGGGTAAGTTTCAATTAAAGCTGCATGTGAAGGTAAGTTACATGATGAAATATATAGCATGTCCATCATTAATTGACAAGGGAATGTTTTTCGGATCAGGCTCTTTAAAGAGAAATTCAAAGAATATACAGAATTTGGGTTACTGAATGTAGAGGAAATGTCTTCTTTTTGCACTTGGAAAAGCTTTGATGCCAGAATATGCTGCTTCTCATTCTACTTTCAGCTTCTTCACACTATTTTGAATAGATCCGACTGTAATTTCTTAACACTAGTTTTTTTATTTGTTTTGTTGCTTTGTTATTTTACAAATGCTGTGTTCAAACAAAAGCGCACATACTATTTTTGTGGACAGCCAAGAACTAGTTTTTGAGCGGCTAATAACAGAGGAGATGAGGTCAGTAGTCAAAGTCCAAACCTCTGAGTGATACAAATCCAGAAATTTTTAATCTTAGCTTTTCACAATTAAGATAAGATAAAGAGCGAATTGCTAGTGTCTTTGTGCTGTAGAACATGATCTGTCATTTAAGCAGCATGTTCCAGCAGGGACAAGCTAACCTGTAGCCGAGCACTGGACTTCAGATCCGTACAGCACGCAGTAAGTGCTCAGCCATGGAACTACAGCTGTGGTCTGCCTTTTCCACTGTGACTTTCTGCACCTGCTCGATGATGAGGTGCTTAGAGCATGTTATTACATCTGTGAGAATGTAATTCCTCAGCGGTCCTGAGAGCAAGATTCACAATGGAGAGAAATGCAGGATGTGCAACGTTCTGCTCAGACATAAGTAGCTAAAATATACAGTCTTTCAGTGGTTGTGGGGTGGCAGCGTGTCTAAGCAGGTCTTTATTGCAGTTCTTCACACAGTTTTCAGGAAGGTAATCTTTGTGTCTCTTCACTGTTCTAAATCAGGGTTTTCATTAGTGGTTTGTGGGAGTATAACACCTGCCATGACAGCTTGGCATGCCCTGTTCCTCGGTGCTACCTGTGTGTCTTGCATGACGGTTCTCCCATGTGGCCCATGCACACCTTGCAAAGCCATATGCATCGCCACCTTGCAGAGGGGGAGGTCTGCTCTCTTCCTGGCCTGGTTCAGGTGCTTCAGAGGTGCTGCCAGATTATGGCACACGGCCTGTCACATCCTGAAATGCGTATCCCACTGCAGTTCACGCCATGGCTGGAGGGCTCTGTGCTCCCGTCCGCATGAATTGCCTTGACCAAGTCAGCTGCACCATTCCGCAGCTCAGCTCTGCCTGGTGTATCGAGGGCCCAGAGCTATGGTCCACAGGTGCTGCTATGCCAGATGCTAAGACATTCTCCTGTGTGACATCAAGTTAGTCTCTTCCTCTGCCCAGCAATTCCTCTCCTGCCCTTTCCCACCCCTAGGATTATCTGCTTGCTGCAGAGCACGTTCTGGGTGCCAAGGAGTGCTGGCAGGCAGCCCAGGGTGGCCTGCCCCTCCAAATGCCGATGGAAGGGCTCCAGGAGCTGCCCCGAGCTGCAGGAAGGGATGTGAGGGAGTGCTGCAGCCACCCTATGTGTCTGCCTGCCCTACCATAGCCACAGGACCGGGTGCTGCCAGGCTGCCCTCAGCACTCCAGCCACGGGCACCACTGACAGCACAGTTTTTGTTTGTCTTTTTTTTATTTTCCCTAAAATGCATTAGATTTGCTCCTGCTCCAGTGCAGGAGCGACTCAGCTGCATGGCCAGGAAAAACTCCATCTATGTGGTTGCCAACATCGGGGACAAGAAGTCATGTAATTCCAGTGATCCCAGCTGCCCCAGCGACGGTCGCTATCAGTACAACACCGACGTGGTCTTTGACTCGGAGGGGAAACTGGTGGCTCGTTACCACAAGGTAAAGTGGCCTTGGAAAGTCAGGAGCTATTTTTCCACTACTTCCAAAATGTCTCCATTTGGCAAGAGAATTAAATGCCAGTCGTTGTCCCATGGTAGATTTTTGCTTTTGTTTGTAATTTAAAAGAGTCTCTTTCTTTCTGTGAAGTGTTGACTCCAAATTTGCATTTGCTGTCCTGTTTCTCAAAACAGACTAGAATGAAAAATGATTGCTCAGGTCCAGTTTAGTGGCATACGGTTTTGGCTGGCTTCCTCAGTTCATTAACTCCCTATGACTGGAAATCCTGCTGCTTAGGCAGCTTTAGTTTTCAGTGCCAGCTTTGCACTAGACTACCCCTCTACGTTCCAAGATTTTACAGGGTTCATCTGCATCTCGTTTTAGATGAGTAGTCTGATTTAAGGAACACAGGCCCATTCCTATAATTCTTTTTTTTTGTTGATGTTTCAGCAAAGTTTTTGCATAACAGGAATTATCTGGACAAACCTATGGACCTAAGCTGGATGCAAAAAGAGATGAGGACATGGAAACATTTGCACCCAATGAAAGTATCTTCTTTCAGTTTTATATGCCTATCTCCAAGGTTCATCAAAGTTGTTTGGGGTTCATGTGCCAGATGCATGCCAGTGGCTAGGCTGAAGTCAGTTGTTTAACTCACTTTGGGCTCAGTGTTTCACCTGGATTTTCAGGGACAATGCCAAGATACTTCTTTGCGAGCAAACTGGGAAAGGGGGACACTGATAATGCGAGCCTGGTCCCCTGTGTTCCAGCCTGCCACAGCCCAGGGCCTGAGCTACAAGTCCAATAAACTTGAACCTCTTTTCTGTCTCGGAGCACATGTATTGTCCAGGCCACCTGGAGATTAAAGGACTCTTTCAGCAAACATGAATGTGAAGGAAGAAGGAAAATGTTGGAAAGCTGAGAACGTCTCAGACTTGGAATTTTTTGTTGGTTGAGATCATCTGCCTTTCTCCCATGACCACAGCCTTGCTTTCTTCTCTGCCCTGCAGCCTCCCAGTACTGTCTCGTGCTTCCTGCTGGTGCTGGGTGCTTTCAGTCCTTCTGTGCTTCTCCACACCAAGGTCACCAATCCTGTCTCTTGGCATCAGATCCTCTGTGCTCCTCTTCCATTATTGTTTCTCTTGTGTGTGTCTTTTGAATCACCAGGATTATAAACTAGCTGGGGAGGGGGGAGAGATTATTTTTACGGGGGTTGCAGGTGGCTGACACCAACAGACCTGCAGATAGCCGGTTGCTTTTCTGGTTAGATGCCAGGGCAATGTGTGTCTCCCCATACCCACCCTTTGGGCACTATGGTGATCATACAATTTTAGCCTGACTTCCTACATGTGAAGGCTTCAAACACAGTTCAAAAAACTTCTCTAGTCATTGTGAACAGTTTTAGGGAATGACTCCAAGATATTGCAGTAAGTGCCTTTAACTGATTTCCCTTTTTTCCTTCCCCTACAGTATAATCTCTTTGTGTCAGAAACTCAGTTTAATTACCCTAAAGAGCCAGAAGCCGTCACCTTCGAGACGCCCTTTGGGAAATTTGGCGTTTTCACTTGCTTCGACATCCTTTTCCGTGAGCCTGCCGTGGTCCTGGTGAGCGAGCTGCAGGTGGACACTGTGCTCTTCCCAACAGCTTGGATGAATGTCCTGCCGTTCCTGACCGCGATTGAGTTTCACTCTGCCTGGGCTATGGGCATGGGTGTCAACTTCCTAGCTGCCAATACACACTACACCAGCTTGTCTATGACAGGTAATTAGTTCTCACTCTGTCTAAAAAATCTCTATAACCATGAATCTTTATTCTGTGTTCTGCAAGGTGATATTGCAGAGGAATATAATACAATTATAAAATGATAAATACATTATAATAATGTATAAAGATGTCTCAATTGGTAAATGGTCCTTTTACATGAACTAGCCAAGAATAAAGGAATTTGCAAGCAACTCTGTTGTGTACAGGAGAAAAGAGAACTGGTGGGCCCGTAAATACAACCATAAGGTAACACCCTGCCTTTTGGCTATACTGAGCAGGCCTCACTCAGGGACATAAATGCTATTCTTTGCCAAAGTATGATCTCTGTATACTGAGTTGCCAATAGTCACCTTTGCTGAGACTAAAATTTCTGCAATATTTATAAACTAGTGGATAAGCTAGCAGTAGGCACAACTAAAAGGACAATATGAAATTTTTTATTCTTTTTGGATGGACTATTGTGCTCTCCACAGGGAGCGGTATTTATGCACCAGATGGAGCCAGAACATACTACTATAACATGAAAACTGAGGATGGTCGCCTCCTCATTGCTGAACTAGATTCACACCCTCGCCTTTCTCCTGCCTCCTCGCCTGCCGTCAACTGGAGCTCATATGCTTTGAGTGCCGAAAGATTCCCACTGAATGACCGTGATTTCAGTGGACTCATCTTCCATGACTGGTTCACTTTCACTGAGCTCACTAAGCCTGAGCAGAATCTCACCATTTGCCAGAAGGACCTCTGCTGTCACTTGAGCTACAAGATGGCACGGAAACGAGAAAATGAAGTTTATGTGCTAGGTGCTTTTGATGGGCTTCATGTTGTTGAAGGACAATACTATCTGCAGGTAATGATTCTTTGGAGGAGGCATACTTGTTTTAGGAAGCTGCTTTACAGGGAGAAACCTTCAGATCTGTGGTGAAAAAAGGCAATGCCCTTGTACGCTGGAGTCTTGATGTCCTATTTGTTACCAGTGGAAAGCAGTTACTAAAATCTCCAAGCCTCCTTACCTTTAAACCCAGTAAGTGCAGTGGAGAGGTCTCTAAACCTCTTTTAGGTTCCCAGAGTGCCCTCACTATTTTTTTAGGTGTGCAATATTGGCTAGATTTAGGTCCTCTTTTGTGACTATCTGCAGTAAGTGTTCTAAATCTCCTCTGTAATCTTCACCAAACAATTCCTGTTAAAAAAAAAATTGTTTTTTCATATCTGTGAGCTGATCTGATAATTTAGAGTCACAGAGATGTTAATTTTTTGTCATTACTCAAATCATAGCGATGAAGTGTACTGAAATGGCATGTGACTTTTACTGGAAATGTCCACTCTTCCTCTCTTTTAATCAAATGCTTGGGAAGACAGTGCCTTATGTCCTGATGAATTTACTTAAAGCTATATTAGAGAACCTTCTTTGCCTTCACAATTAAGTTATTGTGTCAGCAGTTTATTCTTTTTTTAGTTACTTACTTCTGTCTGTCAACACAGCCTTTGCATATCAGCTGGTACAGACTCCAGGATACTGGAGGAGGTCTTAGCCAGAAAACTGCTTATCTAATACATTTAAAAAGGTAGCTTGAATAAATTCAGTTCTTGGTGAGGTCGCTTGGAAAATTTATTTCAGTGATTGTGGAAGCTGCAAGATGGTCTCTACCACTACTGAATTTTCTAGAGAAGACAGGAATTTCTACTCTTCCTTTTGCTCTCAGTATTTTTCTGGTTTCCTCAGAACAGACTGAGAGAATTTTAATCTTCATTCTCTTATTATTTGCATTTCCACACAAAACCATTTTGGCTGATGACTAATACTTCCAATGTTGCAGATATGCTGCTTCTATCCCCCACTATCTGACTCAAATATAACTCCTTCACTACCTGTCAGCAAAACCAGCCAACATCCTTTGAATCTTCACAGGAGTGCTAGCCTTATTTCATAATTCTTCATGAGATCCAAAAATATTTATCAGCTGGATAATTAACTCTAAGGACAAAAGGAAAACATTGCCATTCCTACTTTCCTCTATGTGCTGTAACTACTAACACAAAACTGTAACAGAGGATGCTAACTTTATCACCTTGACATATATTCACCAGGATGTGGATCGAAAACATCAGATTCAGATTTTCCATGGACTACCAGGCCATCTAATGAATTGTCATTAGCAACATGTGCAAATACCAGTAAGAGGACTTGTGTGTACAGTTGCACAATGTACCTATGAGGAGGGTTTTGTTTCATTTGCTAAAAATTTCCATTCACAAACTCTTCTTACTAAGACACGTGGGAAAGGAACCTTCAAACAAGAGAACAGACAATTGGAAGAATTAGTGGAAGTGGCAGGACTGAGCTTCGGGGATGAAATAAGGTGCTCTGGCAGCCCTCATGTCAGAAACAGGTTATTTCTAACGACTAAGGCAAAGTAGGTCTGGAATACCGCCGGTCAGATCAAGGGGTAAAAAAATAAGCTACAAGTAAAAAGAGATTGCTTAAACATTATGAAAGAGATCCTGTGACAGTCACTTGCTCTGACACACACTGGCTTTGATGACACAAGGCTTTCCTACCAGAGTGTTTCCGTCTTGCTAAATATGTTGTTGTCTTCTCCTCCCTGCAGATATGCACGCTGCTCAAGTGCAAAAGCACAGACCTGAACACGTGTGGGCAGCCGGTGGAGACAGCTCAGACCAAGTTTGAGATGTTCTCCCTCAGCGGCACCTTTGGCACCAACTACGTCTTTCCAGAAGTGTTGTACAGCGGGGTGCAGCTGGCCCCCGGGGAGTTCGAGGTAATGCAACACCTTGGAGCTGTGTCATGCTAGGTTCTCTGCGTAACAGTAATGGAATAAGCTGTCTCAAAACAGCCGAAGTGGACTTGCTCATAGTGAATAATCAGATCTATTAAATACCTTTTAATGAAGTCACTAGTTTCGGCGAGAGATATGTTTGAACGTATCTTCTTCCTGCTTTGTTACGTCTTTCTGAGCTCTTAGCCTGTTCATATGGATATTCCTCTAACCGTGTCCTTCTCTCGCCTTTTTCAATCAGGTATTGAAAGATGGGCGCCTGATAAGTAAGGCACAATCAACAAAACCAGTTGTCACTGTGACACTTTTTGGACGGTGGTATGAAAAGGATCATCTGAAACAAGACCCACAACCACCAGCCTTTCCATGAGATTGCCATAACTGAAGCCATATACTATTAACCTTACGTCTAAATGACATACAGCATCCTCTACTATGGCAATCCGAACTCTGTTCCTTACTTCCAGTTGCACAAACTTCCTATGAGTGTGCTTTGTTTAGTAATAATGCAGCAATATTATTTTATTGCTACCATTTATTGAGAAGTGTCTATTTCTAGATCAGAAGATTACTAATATTTTATTAGCATGAAACAGCAGTTGTGTTTCTTTCTCTGTTTTCTGGATTTTTGTTTTTCTAGCCCTCAGAAGATCTGTATTGTGGGCCAGAGGATACATTCTTATTGAAATAGCATATTTTATAATTGCAGATTATTATGAGACCAGTAAATAAAACAGTGAAAGATGTGATTTGTGGCAACTCTATACAGAAAAGCTCGATAATGCTTTGTCTCTGGTATACAACTACTTAGCTGACTTATGCAAGTCTGCTCTATTACCTCAGTTACACATGTTTTTTTCTCCTATTTGTGTTGCTTTGGTTTTGTGGCCTTTATGTCATAAATGCATGCCATGCAGCACTTGGCAGCACAGAATAGCACATCATGGAGGCTGAGCGAGAATTCCAATAAAAAATCCAGCACTGAAACAAAACCTGCCACCACTTCTTGGTCAGAACTCGACATGAATCATCATTTCCTTGAAATCTCTGTTGAACCAAAACTTGGAATTGAAACCTCAAAATATTCTACTTGCCAGTTCTGATCAACCTGCAGGCTGCACTAGATGTTAATCAGTGCTGGAACTGTTTGCATCCGGTAAAGAGGTCACTGAGCGTCATATAGCATCTCCTTCTTCCCATCTTCTCTATTTCTTTCCAATCGTATAACACCAACACATATGAAATAAGCCCTGTCCTTTGCTCCTTCGTGATAATTCTGGGTGCTGCCCTGCAATTTCTTTTGCTGTAGGAATGAGGTGGTTTAGATTTCTACTTAAGACCAGCTTCTGCTGGTGAGAAGACACTGTTCACATCTTTGCTTCCTCTTCTTCCTCAGCAACCTGTGCTTTGTTGCTGTTGCTGGACCCTAGTGACCTTCCTTCAGTGTATCAGTGTATAAAGATGTGCATGTTCTGTGGCTGTGGCTTGAAGAGTGGTCAGAGACCTCTGTAAGTCTAATTTCTCCTGCCTTTTTCCCACACTGGCATCATTCCTGGTTGCAATATGGTGCTCTCAAGGTGCTCAGTCCCATATACTTCTGTTATGGAGCTGGTGAGAAGTTAGGAGTGCAAATGCTACCCAAACTCCAGCACTGATTATCACTACTGCGCACCATATGACCTCCTCTGTTTTCAAATGTAAATAGAAACTCACATGTGATGTAACGTAGTGTCATGCGTAATGACACGCTTATCAAAAGCCCTAGACAATGTACTCTGACTCATGGAAGCTCAACACCAGTGCTGGCAGAGCCACGCTCTCTTAAAACCTTGTTCACTCTTGGAGTCAGTTACTGTCTGATCACAGACTGACCTCAGTCCAGCAAAGGATCATCCAGTGTGATCTTCTTCCCATGGACACAAACTCGGTGCAGACACTGTACTTGTTCCCCAGGAACCTGGTGGGTGACACTGCAACTCTCTCCTGGGAAAAGGATCTGAATTTAAAGGAGGCTGTGGTACACGAGAAGGTCTCATCCTGCAACACAGAAGGGATTCAGTGGGAGCTGGTGGCCAGTCTCTGAGCTGAGGGGCGGCTGCTTCGGGTCTGTTCACTGGTGATACAAATCCTCTGGCTAAGGGAGTGTGTGTGCAAGTAGTGTATAATCCCAGCCGAGAATCTGGTGAGTATCTTGAATTCAGGGTTTGGTTCAAGGCCATTGTGTTTCGGCTAATGTATATTTTTACATTGAATATTTTCCTACAGAAGACTGGCGTAAGCCATCTTAGCTCTAAATTAATTTTGCTACAAAGATTGCATAACACTTCTCGTTGTGAAGTGTGTCATTGTGTAAAGTGAGTCAGGCACACAGAAAGTAATCCTATGCAAGTCTACCCACTATCCGCATATCGACTCACTCCGTGTGAAGACCAAGCTGCCTGTAACCACTGATAACAGTAAACACTTCTTCCAGGGAAGTGCGGCAAAAAAGCATTTCATTACCTGACAGCTGGGTCAGAACCAAAGAAGGTGAGAAACTTGGGCAACCAGATACAAGGGATTTTGGGGAATGTGCAGTGTTAGCTTGAAGATTTCTGATGGGGTGATCTGTAGACACAAGAAAGCAGGCTGCAATAGGCAAAACTTAGAAATTGTGGCTCCCATTCATGATGCTTTCTAGCAGAGACCTTTGGGGACCTGAGATCTGCAGAGCTCACTTGCAGAGCGGTGTTCTGGTGGGTTTTTTCAGACAAAGAGCCTGCCTGGCAGTCCTCTGCAGTGTGGAGCAGCCCCCAAAGGCCACACAACTCTGAGCCAGTGCTGTGCTGAGCTGGGTGGCACAGGCAGCGCCCGTGTGGCCGCACCGAGCTGGGGACTGGCCGCCGGCCCCCTGGAGCCCTGCCTGCAACCACCCCGCGCCCTCGAGTTTGGGCAGGAATGTGTCCGTACCAGTCTTTGCTGAAATTTCCCAAACTCTGGCTTGTTTTCCTGCTCTGACCTGGGCTTGCCTGGAACTGCGTTCCTGCAGCAGCACAGGTCTGTGGCTCTGGCAGGCAACGTGTTTCTCTGGCTGCAGCACAGTGGTGACTGCTCTGCCATTGCTCAATGCTGGCTGCTCTCTTGCCTTTGATGTTGTGAGACTTTCCGGGCAGGGTGATTGCATCTCCTGGTGTGTCGGCTTTCCGCCACTCTGGGGAATTCCCGGGTTTTGTGCAATGCTTTCACTTTTAAAACCCCTGTCTTTGCTGTCCCCGTGCTCTTTTTGGGTGACTTCCAGCCTCCAGACATGGGGCTTGCTAAAGCTCGTGCCTCTGCCGTGCTTTTGGTGCTGTGTGCTCTGGAGGCCTGTGCCCTCGACAGCTATGTCGCAGCCATCTATGAGCACAACGTGGTTTTGTCAGAGGACACTGAAGTGCCGGTTTCGAATAGAATAGAATAGACTATTTCAGTTGGAAGGGACCTACAACAATCACCTAGTCCAACTGCATGACCAGTTCTGGGCTGACCATTTTAAAGCATGTTATTAAGGGCATTGTCCAAGTGCCTCTTCAACACTGACAGGCTTGGGGCATCAACCACCTCTTTAGGACATTGAAGTGCTGGTTTCTCCAGAGGAGGCCTTGGTGCTGATGGACAAAAATAAGACTTCTGGGTGAAATTACATAGTGAAGGGGAAGACACTGTCACAATGGAGAATACATTCCTTGGTTTCTCATGGAGCAGTAAATGTGATTAGCCAGGTTATGTTCTTTTACCCTTACAGACGTACTGCAGGTTCTGACAAAGGGGTTTTTATTATGAAGCACCTGAAGCTATAGTAGTAATATGCTTTTTCCAAAATACCACGCAAAAATTACTCTCCAGAAGAAAAAAAATTGCTTTGTATGATTAATTTCAAATTGCTTGTTGTGCAACAATTGCTTTTTATAACAAAAATAGTAAAAAAAAAAAAAATCTGTGTTGTTTAATTATTTCTCTAAAAGCAAGCAGGTATGTTATTTCCAGATAAAGAGATCAGCACAGTTCAAGGGTTAGTTTACACTGCAGTGCAAGCCCAGGAGGGAGGACACCCTTAGGGCACCTGCTACAATTATAATAAGCCATTGGCCGAAGGCAAGAGGCATAGGCAGGACCATGAGTCTCATAAGCCTGGATGAATCAGCTACACTCTGAGGCATGAGGGCTGTACTTCACGAAGGTGAATTTTTAACTCATGGCAGCCACGTGCAGTAAGGTCATCTGCAGTCGTGTGCCCTAATCAGGGGAGTCTGGGCTTGCCCCAAGATAGGTTTGGAAGCCTGGAAAAGGATGTACAAATGGAATGTGCAAGTACTCCTTCCACAGAGCCCCTTGCACTTCAGCATGGCTTCTGACGTGCTCTCTTAGCCTTTTGTTCACTTTTTATTCATAGCATTTCAAACCAGAAAAAATAATCCAGTTCCTAGAAATGTTTATTTGACTCCTTACTGTAAATAAATGTCCTGATTTTTGGCAGAAATATACTGTACCTTCCCAGATTACTCAATAGAAGAGTAATTCCAAAGCAAACTTACTGGTCTTTACTCCTCCTCTTTCTCTCCAGTATATATTCCGCATACCTGATCCAGGAGCTGCGAGGCAGCAGCCATGCTCCCTTCCCAGCCTCTCCTGCACGCTGCGGTGTTTGCACTCGCAGTCCTCCAGGCCCTGGCCTCCGACACCTTCATTGCAGCCGTCTACGAGCACGCGGTCATCCTGCCAGATGCCACTGACGAGCCCGTTTCTCCCGACGATGCTTTGGCCCTGATGAACAAAAACATGGACGTCTTGGAAGGGGCCATCAAGGAAGCCGCCCAGCAGGTACTGGGTGTATCGGGAGCATTGTTAATCAGCGTTTCCTGCTCCTGCTGACCCTCCTGCTTATCTGTCGATGGGTGAATTCTTAACGGAGCCTGTTGTTTCAGGGTGCTCACATCATCGTGACTCCTGAAGACGGCATTTATGGCTGGCGTTTCACAAGAGAAGCCATCTACCCCTACCTGGAGGATATCCCTGATCCGGCGGTGGACTGGATTCCCTGCACCGACCCCACAAGGTGACTCCTTCAGCAGTGATTGATGTAGTTTCAGATTAGTTCCTCATGGAGTCGTGAGCTGCTCACAATAAATGCCTAAAAACAGCTGGTTTTTTAATGCACTAAACCCCCCAATTGCTGCAGAAATGAAATGCGTCAAAAAGAACTCTTAATTAAATGGTAATGGGAGTATGCAAAGTAAAAAGCATTGAGACAATCTCATTTTGAAAAATTGCAAAAGGAGGAAAATAAGGAAATTTGGGGCAAAATTGTTATTTTTAAAGCATGCAAAACTTTATCATTTCAGAAAAATTGTGAAAATCTTCTTCAAGTATAAGCTAGCTTATTATCATTTCAGATGCATAGATTAGATTAGACAAGGTGAGTCAGTCCTCAGCTCATGCGGCCAGTTGATTTCTGAACCAAACTGCACAAAACACTGCTCCAATTCAGCCTCTTAGACAGTCTGCTGTGTTACACGGGGCTGCTCTGAGTCTGTGCCAGCAGGGGACACCAAGGGGACCGGGCTCATTTCTAACCTAAGTTTTTTCTGAGGCTTCATGAAGCTGGATTTCAGGAGTCCTCAGCTCTGCAAATGCTGTGGCTACTTTTTACTAAAAGCATAAGGCTAAGGTTTAAGTTGCCTTTAACAGAGTGAAGAGTCTTAAAAATGGCTAAAAATCGTGACTTAGGTCTGTCTGAAAATATATCTTCGAGTTATTTTAAGTTTATATTTGCAAACTGATTTATTATCTCTCTTGCTTTCTGAAGCTGTTCTTATCTTTGTATCTGTGTTAGCTGGGAATTGTATCCACAAAGAAGATAACTTCATCTTTTTACGGGTACAGGAAAGAAGAGCATAGGGAGACAGTTTTTTAAAGCTAAAAGAGACCAGCAATTTAAAATTATGCTATGAACAGAGAAGAAAATGAACAAAATCCATTATTTGGTCTATACCTTTTTCTGCACCCCAGGGATATGCAGTTAGTGGAACGGTAATCTTGAATGCCTTTCTTCCACAGCTGAACTTAAACTTGTCAAATTTTTTTAATTTTTCTTTCACCAAAAATACATTAGATTTGCTCCTGCTCCAGTGCAGGAGCGACTCAGCTGCATGGCCAGGAATAACTCCATCTACGTGGTTGCCAACATCGGGGACAAGAAGCCGTGTAATTCCAGTGATCCCAGCTGCCCCAGCGACGGTCGCTATCAGTACAACACCAACGTTGTCTTTGACCCGCAGGGGAAACTGGTGGCTCGCTACCACAAGGTAAATCGGCACTTCAGCATCACCCCATAACTGATTATCAGTATACTATTCATCTCTCTGGCACCAGTTTCAGATTATACAATAATTTTACATAATTGTAGAGAAACAACCAATCCATGATGATCCAATGCAAGGATCTTATGGCCAGAAGGAAAAGCAGGCAAGTGCTTGATCGATCAGGCACTATCCTCAGGAGCACCGCATCTGCAGAGCTTATGCCGGATACCAAACACCAGAGGGCTGCGTTTATGATAGTAAATGGGAAAGAAGCAGAGACAGAGTTTTCCATGCTCAGTAAATGTCAGCTGTCCTTCAGCACAGTTTTGCCAAGGCGGATAGCTAGGCTTTGCTTCCAGGAGGCTGCAGGGGCAGAGGCTCAGCTGCACGGGTGCGAACCTGCTGTGCCAGTCAGCTCAGGTATCTCAGCCCCCTGCTTTGCCTTTAAGCCTGTCTTGAAAAGTAGCTGTTCATAATCTTGCCTTATTTTTAGTTTCTAATATGCCATTTTCCTTACCTGCAGTACAACCTGTTTAGAAGAGAAACTCAGTTTAATTACCCTAAAGAGCCAGAAGCAGTCACTTTCGAGACACCCTTTGGGAAGTTTGGCATTTTCACTTGCTTCGACATCCTTTTCCGTGAGCCTGCCCTGGCCCTGGTGAGCGAGCTGCAGGTGGACACCGTACTCTTCCCGACAGCTTGGATGAATGTCCTGCCGTTCCTGACCGCTATTGAGTTTCACTCTGCCTGGGCTATGGGCATGGGTGTCAACTTGCTTTCAGCAAATACTCACAACACCAGCTTGGCAATGACAGGTGAGTTGCCTTTGGGAAAAGGGAAATTGTTTCCAGAGTACTGGATTCAGAAGCAGGCAAAAACATTTTATGAACAGCAAACTCTTTGGAAAATACTGTTTTAATCAGATTGACAACATTCTTGATGTTGTATTGAATACAGTAAACAGCTTCAGGGAAGGAAATGTTGAATATTCTGGGAGAGGTAAAATTAGAAAGAGTTTGACATTAAATTTTGATATTTCAAAAGTGATATTTTCTTTAAAAAATAACACACTTTCACTTAAATTTTCAGCCTCTCATGTAGAAGCAGCATTTTTTGTTTAAAATTCAATCATAAGTTAAATGGAGGAAAAAATGTTATAAGCAAAACTTAGTAACTCAAAAACAAGGATTACTGGATAAAATATTTTGAGGTTTTTGTTGCTGCTGAAGAATTAGAGATATTTATATTTTTATTTGAACTGAATAGATATTTACTGCCATTTTTTTTCTGTAAACTGAGAAAATATTGCTGTAGCTGCATCTGTAACTCTTCCCTGAAGCAGAAATGAAAGCCACAAAGGAACATTTTTTCCTGTCCTAAATAGATTGAGCTGAGTTTAGGCCACAACCCTGGGTTTCCTTCTGTGAAACGTCATTACCCCCATGGTTTCCTTCTTCAGCAAATCATAGAATCATAAGTTGGAAAAGACCTCTAAGATCATGAAGTCCAACCATCCGCCCAACACCACCATGCCTGCTAAACCATGTCCCAAAGTGCCACAGCTACACATTTTTCATACACCTCCAGGGATGGGGAATCAACCACCTCCCTGGGCAGCCTGTCCCAATGCCTGACCACTCTTTCAGTAAAGAAGTATTTCCTAATATCTAGTCTAATCCCCCCCTTGCGCAACTTGAGGCCATTACTTCTCGTCCTGTCGCTATTGAGCTAAGTTCTTAAAAAAAAAAAAAAAAGGGATGGTTGTGTGTCAAATTGCCATTTAAGACTCAGATTCAAGATCCAGTGAAGCACAAAACCTGTGTTCAGGTCATGTTTTTACACCATGATGGATATTTTAGCAGTTCTGTGCTTTAAAATTCTTCTGAAATTCCCCGTAATGTGTTGATTGAAAACAGCATCATCAAAAAATCTGGCCAGTGTGGCATGGGGCGCGGCTGGCCCCCACACCAAGTGGTGCTGGGGCTGCCGGCTGATGGAGGGCTGGTGTGTGTCCTTGGCAGGCAGCGGGCTGTTCACACCGGAGGGACCCGTTGCCTACCATTACGACAGCGAGACAGAGGAGGGACGTCTCCTGCTAGCAGAGCTGAGCGCACACCCCCGTCTTTCCTCCAGCTACCACCCTGTCGTCAACTGGAGCTCATATGCCACAAGCATAAAGAAATTTCCAGAAGAAAAAAATACTTTTTCGGGAGCAGTCCGGCGGGATATATTCACTTTCAGTGAACTCAGGCACAAAGCTGGAAATTACACCGTTTGCCAGGGAGACCTCTGCTGTCATTTGGTCTACCGGATGTCAAACAAGAGCAAAGATGAAGTTTATGTCCTGGGTGCATTTGATGGGCTTCACGGTTCTCTCATAAAATATCATTGGCAGGTAATTTCTTTTGTAAGGGGTAAGTGTGGTTTGTACATGCCTACATCCCAGCCAACCCCAAACACTGTCCATTTCTGCATCATGAGAACTCTTCTTACTATCAAATCTATCTCTCAGCTGTTGAAAGCTTAGCAGTATTTTTCCTTTCTGTATCCTCCTCCCTGCAGATATGCACGCTGCTCAAGTGCAAGAGCACAGACCTGAACACGTGTGGGCAGCCGGTGGAGACAGCTCAGACCAAGTTTGAGATGTTCTCCCTCAGCGGCACCTTTGGCACCAACTACGTCTTTCCAGAAGTGTTGTACAGCGGGGTGCAGCTGGCCCCTGGGGATTTCAAGGTAATGCAACATCCTGGAGCTGTTTGATGCAAGGTTTTCCAGACTGTGGTGCTGGAAAAAGGTATGGCAGCAAAGTCCCATCCAAGACTCACTTTCTTTGGTTCTGCAGACCATAACTCAAGGGGACATTTAAATGGATGGATTGAATGAATTCTTACTGATCCTCCTCCCTGCAGATATGCACGCTGCTCAAGTGCAAGAGCACAGACCTGAACACGTGTGGGCAGCCGGTGGAGACAGCTCAGACCAAGTTTGAGATGTTCTCCCTCAGCGGCACCTTTGGCACCAACTACGTCTTTCCAGAAGTGTTGTACAGCGGGGTGCAGCTGGCCCCTGGGGATTTCAAGGTAATGCAACATCCTGGAGCTGTTTGATGCAAGGTTTTCCAGACTGTGGTGCTGGAAAAAGGTATGGCAGCAAAGTCCCATCCAAGACTCACTTTCTTTGGTTCTGCAGACCATAACTCAAGGGGACATTTAAATGGATGGATTGAATGAATTCTTACTGATGAGAACATATAAATGCTATGGCTGAGAATCTCTTCAGTGTTTTCTTCAGCATATATGCCTTCCCACTTCATGTCCCAAATCTGTAAATGGCAGCTTTCACAGAGCTATTTTGTACAGGTTTCTGCTGATGGGCATTTTAGGAAATAAAGAAATCAAATACCCTGAGAATTCTTCCAAGCAAGAAAAAATACTAATGAGTACTGTGCATAAGAGTAGAAATCCTATGCAGTTAAAAAAGTTGAAAGGGATTTTCAAGGGGTTTGTAGGGTTTATTTTTTTTATTTGAAAGTTCATTAACTATTTTTGCCAAAACATATTTTCATTCATAAATCTTCGATTATGTTTGTGTAAGAGGCTAGATAAAACCTTAATTGATTTGGAAGAGGTATTTAATAGCTTCCAAGAGACAATGAAGACAGTGAATAAGACTTGAAAATTTTTATTGGAAAGAAGGGTGATTTTTTTAAAAGGTAGAAAATGGAAAAGCATTGCTCTCTTGCAGATTTGTTTTGAATGGGACTTCTGTAAAAACATACACATCAAAGGATTTATTGGTATGCTAAAATATAATCATGGTCTAATCTAAAAAACAATTTAATATTTTCTTAAAAAATACATGCTTATTGTTTGTCACACAGGATCTTAAAAAGTTGCACGTGTTCACAGCCTATGAACAACAGTGATTTCAAATTTATCTGTAAAAAGTAACTAAGAAAAGCAACATACGGCCAGTAACTTGAAATTCTCTACTTCCATCTGGAAATTGTTTGTTTTGGAGACTACAGGTCAAAAAAGATTGCAAATTACTGTGCTAGATATGTATATAACCTTCATTGCCATGTATGATTAACTAATGAGAACCTTACAAATACATTTCTCACTCTCACCTTTGCATGAGGAGGAAAAAATGACCTTTTTTCTTCCAAAGGTGGAGCTGGAGGAAGTTTTAAAGACCTTCAGGTCCAAGGAAATGTGAGAAGGCTAGGGCAGAGCCAGAGATAATTCTGGTTTCTTTCATTCTTATGATTGTCTTTTAGAAGTGTTGCATTGAAATATTCAGTGTCTAAGGCCTATTCTTTCTGTACCATGCAATATTGGTGCTCTGTTAGTGGGCTATCAGCATCATTCTTTCTCCTTTCCACCAGGTGCTACGTGACGGGCGTTTGAAAAGTAAACATGGCACATCGAAACCGCTTGTAACAGCAACGCTTTTTGGAAGGCTTTATGAAAAGGACCTGCCACACCCTCTGCGAACCTCCCCATAACATATCTCCTTGGTGTTACACCGTCACCATAGACAGGAGGGGAGCTCTCTGCAGTGATCCACCTCCTCGTGAGCCGTGGCAATTATCCTGTATCATTCCTGTTCTGCAGTCTTGCTCAGCAGCAGCAGCAGTTGAGTTTATTTAGAAGAAAGCAATGTGATCACTCTGTTGTGTACCTGTATCTGTGGTATATTTTTTTAATAGGGCTCTAGCCAGTGCAACTATTTTTTAGTACGAATTCTCTGTCATGTGAAATCTTTAATTAAATCTTTAATTAAAAATCATTGTTTTCCCAAAGACATCATGTAGATTGCCAGGACAACACTAGAAAAAAGACTGATACTGAAATGTGTGAAATGTGGAGTTTGCCAGTTTGCTGCAGAACAAATCTTTTCCAAGGAAGCCTTTATGTCCCCTTTGACCCTTTCTGTTTTTCAGACTGCATAAGCACGGAGTGTCCGTGTTTCTCAGCCTTGCTCACCAATCGATAGCGCCTCCCTTATGCTCAATGGGCCTTGGCCCCATGCTCACCATGGGACTGTACAATGAAGAGAAAAACAGATTTGAAATGGGTTTAGGTGTAGCCTTAAAGAGAAAGTGGTCCTCCACAGCCCACTCAGGTGCTGAGTCTGGATGAACTCTGTGAAGCATCTTCAGTTCTGCAGTCCCTCTAAGCTTGCATTGCTTTGTGCATGGCGTACGCGTGCTGGGGCCAATGCACTTCGGATCAGACTTACCATATAAACAAATGTACCAACACATTCTCCTGCATGTTTGGACAGTTTCTTCAAAACTGTGAAAACATAGGAAATAGGCAGTATTTTAATACCTGAAACACATTTGACCATGTAGCGTGAGAAATGGGCATTACATGGGACTTCTGGCAATGACACATATAGCCTGGCAGTCCTGGACCTGGTGCGTGTCTATCACGTTCTGCAGCAAACAGGCCTCATTCACACCACATAAGGCTTGGAGTGGTCCCTCCCTCAATAGTTATCCCATAATCTTCTGTGTCTACTGCCCTTCACATCACTGTTATACAGCCTGCACCATACTCAGCACTGAGCTGCCCTGAACGTGGCACATAAACACTCTGTGGCTTCCCACCCCATGCACACCAACGTATGTTATCCAGAAGCTGTTGAAATCACAAGATTTCTGTTTCCCGTGTGCCACTGCTCCTTAGCACACAACTTTGGAGGCTCCTTCCAGGACTTGTTTCATCCTGGAAATAAAAGAGCTGAGCTCATACTCAGGGGAAGGACTGCACCACTTGGGAGCAGTTATTCAAGACAGGCAGAACCCTGAGGTCGTACTTGCGGTGGCTTGTCCAGCACCCCACCCTTTTCTCGCCTGACTTGTGGTGGTAACCCAGACTAGTCTTTCATAGAGGAGGCTTTACTCAAGAGAGATATGACCAACCTTTGGCCGTACTAATCCCACGTGACTGTTGGGTGTGTAGTGCGTACGGGGTCCAGAATTCCAAGATACAGAGGACCACGCTGCAGGGTGGGAGCTGCTCCTGCTTCCCAAGCCACTCTTGTACACTCCAGGAGTCCCTTGTCTGGCACATGAGGAGCAACAGTTTGGGAAGGGCAAATGAGGCTCAGCCTGCTGGTTATGATGGTTTGCGGTGTCACCCCCTTAATCGCACCGGTCTGTTGGTTTGCGCTAGGGTCAGCACAGCAGGCACACACGGTGGAAAATGTCCATGCAGCAGCTTTGCCCTGGGGGTGGTCCCCACGGTGGTGCTTCCCCATCCATCCTTGGTGCTGCTCACTCAGCTGTCTGCCCCAGAGAGGTCAAGGAGACGCTCTGAGAAAGGCAAGCACTACCCTGACACATAAAGTCCAGTACTGAATAATATCCTAAAATGTTTTTTAAATTCCAAATATAATTCTTTCTGCTGCCCATGGGGGGTGGAAGGCCGCTGCCTCCTGCAGCCCTCTCACCTTGAGAGCCCTGCAAGAGAGCAAATGTGGGCGCGGAGCCGGCGTTGCACTACCTTCTCGTGTGCCTGCTGCTCACCACCACCTCCCCCTTCACTGCCCTTCAGGAAAAACATGCTTTTATTACCTGGCCTAGAATTCCTCATGTGGAAAATTAAAAAAAATCGGAACCGCTACCAGAGTGACATGTGAACACAATTTGACTTTTTTTTGTCGTGGTAGTCAAATAATTTGATTAAAATATTTTTTCACTGGTTGGCATCAATAGCTTTACATGCTAATCCACGAGAAAGAAGAATCTATGATTCTATGATCTTGGGACATTTTAGAGAGAAATGCCTCACAGAGGCATCAGTGGCACTCTTGAAACAAACAAATACTTTGCCGGTTGCTGGTACTCTAAATCCTGAGTACTTCACGTACTCCAAATGGATGCGGAATTTATAAAAATCTTTCTGAAACTGAAGAGGAATACAGTTGGGTGACCTGAATTGAACAGAATTGTAGACATTAATCTTATTATTACTAAGTTTTATCATTCTCCTATCAGGTTAAACTTCCCAAAAATATCTGTAGCAATGGAATCAGTGAGAGTTCATCAGTGTTAATGAAATCGGGCCCCTGGGGAGATAACTAAACTTTAAAGAAATATTTTTCTTCAATTGAACAATATGCCACATTCTACTCCTCATTGCTATTCAGGCTGTGATAATTGAATGTAAACATCTGTCACATATCACTTGCTGGCATTTCCCAAGTATGGAGAACTTTCCAGATACATGCAGATCTGTCTGTCTTAGGTTGTCAGAGCTGGAAATGGGTAGGGTACAACTGACATCATTGCTAGTTAAGTAGCCTACAGTATACCGGGAAAGGACTCTCGAACCTCATTCCTTAGGGATGTAGAAATCCAGGATTCTTTGAAAATTACACTGAAACCAAATTTGAAGAATGGTTGACCTGTAGTTTTCAAGATTTGCTGCACAGCTTTCCTCTCCCTGAGAGGGTAATGAGGGTGCCATAAAACGGACCAATGAGGACTTTATTAATCCCTTTCTCATTTCTTCTCATAAAGCAAGAATTTAACCAAGCAGAGGATGAAGTTACATGGACCGCTGCAGCAGTTTCAGAATAGCTCCATCACATTAATGTGCAAGGACCATGAACCCTGCTTTTGGGTAAGGGATCCCTGGAAAAAAAAACAACCAGATCTTCAGCTGAGGAACTTGGTGGTCACAGTGACTAGATGAAGTTCAGTTTTAGGAAATGTGAGTTTTTGTAATAAAGGCCAATTTCAAATGATGCCAATTACAGAAAACTTCAGAATACAGAAGCAGAGAGATAATGAATGACCAATGTGATAAATCACATTCATGTAAAATTGTTTCACTTGAATTCACGGAAGGTTAACTAGCTATGCACTTCCTTTCCTACCTACTAGGTGGGTGTTAGAAAATAGAGAATGTTAGCTCATCTTTAGGAAAAAAAAAAAAGGCCTCTCCTACATTTTCTGATGGGACGGAATTTGAGTTTCTGAAAGAACTGGAGTGATTACTGACTCTGGGACAGATATGCCTAAGGAGAAGAGCTGAATTAACTTATATGTAACTCACTTCAATGACTCCACCTCAAAAGCTGCTCCAGATGGTATCCTAATGAACCGCATCCTTTTCTGAGCTGGAAAAGCCTGTTCTTCACATGTCAATATTTCTTCCTTATATCTTGATGCTGGCCAAAGTAAACAAGACCCACCTGTACACGGTGTTTGTGATCACACAGAGAGAGAAACAAGTCCTTAACAGATTTTACTGATGCAAGGCTTCAGATGAAGGTAGAAAAATACTGCATTAAAACAAGTGTGATCCAAACCTTACAGTTGATTTAAGTAAGACTGGTAACAACAACTTTAGCAAAACTTTAACTCTGAATAAAATCTAATGTACTTTATTGTACATATTGCATTAAAGCAAGCAAACCGTGAGCAAAAATGAAGTGACAGTATCTTAGTAATCTGGTTTTCTTTTTAAAGAGAGCACGATACTACAGCCACGTCCTTGTATGCATATTTTGGTCATCATAACCTCAAATTATCCATTACATAATGTGGAAGAGCGAGGTGCAGTCAGAGACTGTGCAACTGTTAGCTCCAGTAATACAATACTAATTGTTAATGAACAACATGTGTTATCATAGGTGAACTACTGGCAGTATGGGACACTGTTCGTAAGCACACAGAATCTCTGCAGATATAGTGAATGATAGACAGAACAACCATGACTTGGGTTTGAATTGAAGAATTCATACATTTCTAATTAACCAAGAACCAAATTATAACCCCACCTCATCCAGACAGTGTTTGCAATGTCACCATCCACTATCAGGGCAGAAAACCTGAAAAAGAGAAAGAACTTGCACAGGTCAATAAATACAGCAGCAATTATTATAAGGCTTACCACAGCTAATACACTTTCAGTTTAGAAAAGAATTCAGAAGTAGCAGAAGCACTTGTAATCTCCATTTTTTGAAAGTATTGAAATGTTTCTTGTAGCTATTTCTTATCATAAAGTTGTAAGTGAAATACTCCATTGTCTGTTCAGATATTCTCATGGCAGCAGTGAATTTCCACTACAAATATGTACAACATAAGAAATTAATTGTAACTACATGATTTTAACTTTGCCTATCCATCTTCATTTGCTACTTCTAATGTTAAAGTTAATTTTGATGAACTCACAGTCTTGTAGCTGTGATGGTGTCAGGATGCAACAGCAGCAAGGAGTGTAAGAGGCAGCAATATCTTTTAATGTCAGAAAAAATAGTCAAGCTTTAGGAAAGCCCATTTCAGAAAACAGGGAGAATAACTATTTGTGCATGGTTGCCCAGCTCGTGTAATTCAAAACATAATAACATAAAACATTTGTAAAAAATAATGGAGTACCTTAGAGACAGCTCTCAAGATGAAGTGATGACTTTTGTAACAAAATTTTTGAGCATTTACTTCTAAATGAGTGTTAGGAGTATGAGACGCACTTGAATTGATCAAAGTCA